AAGCCTGATACACACCTGCCCTGATTAGAAACCACTCCGCATCCCCTTGTTCTGAATGAGCACAATGAAGTGTTCCGTTCTCACGAGGTTATCCATAATTTGTCATCATATACACAGCCAAATGCTTTGCAAATGGTGAAAGCACGCCACATCTGTCTGGTGTTCTCTGCTTTCAGCTGAGAGCCACCCGGCCTCAGCCGGGATCCCCCCTGTTCTTCGGAATCCAGGTTGAATTTCCGGCAGCTCCCCATTTATGGCCTGCTGCAACCAGTTTTGAATTATCTTCATCATAATCTTACTTGCATATGATATTAATGATAATTCTAGAAACTTTCTGAATTCTTATGTTAGTCCAGGTTGACTAGAGAAACAAATTTACTGACACTCATATCTGTATAAGAGAGAATTTATACCACAGAGTAGTTGTATATTAAGACAATATCCAGCCCAGTCCCGGCCAAGTCCATAAGTCTAATATTAGTCCCTATGCCCGATACTAGTCCATAAATTCCTCTTTAGACTCACACAGCACATGCAACGATGCTGAATTCAGGAAGCTCACAGGCCAGTGGATGGAAAGTCTTGTAGACCCAGTGGCAGTGGAAGCATCTCAGCGCTGGCATGAGTCTCCATGTGGCTCCTCCAGCTCCAGGGCGCTGGCTGCCATCAGTGTGTCTCCATGTAGCTTGTCAACAGGAATGTATAGCACAGAGAGTGTGTGTCCTGACTCCAGGGAGGAACAGGCGTTTCCAGAATCCTCAGGAGAAGGCCATGCCCACACCCAGTGAGGCCTCATTGGCTATGACCTGATTGACAGGCTAGGCTCCACCCCTTCACGCAAGTTGACAGTGGATTATGTAACAGCTACAATTCTGTTGGTCACCTTTCCTATGAATGGGCACAACTATGGTCAGGTAGCTGCCTTCAAAATTTCTTGACATAGATGAGTGGGTGCTTCCAGCATGGCAGCCATTTGTTAAAACATGAACCGGTTAGTACTCTGTCAATTCCTGGAGCCTTGGTTTTGGCTGATGCCTTTAGTGACGCTTGGACTTCTTCCTCCAGTGCCTTTGTTTCTTGATCACATGCTACCCTTTGAACTGATTGAACAACTGCCACTTTTCTTTTTCTGCACAGTGACTCATTGTGTTCCTTCCATCTTCTTTGGATACTCCTTGTATTGTTCAATTGTTTTTGCCTACAGAATCCTTCGGTAGTGCAACTTGAGATTTCACTTTTTTCTTCAGAATGGCCGAGTGTGTTGTTCCCTTTGGGTGCTCTAATTCCAGGTCTTTGCACATTTCATTCCCATCCTTCACTTTGCCTTCTTGAAGGAGCTCTGTAGCCTAGTGGGTGAGAAATGGAGCTACTAACCACAAGGTTGGCAATTCGACCTTGCCACCAGCTGCGCCACAGGAGAACGATGAGGCATTCTGCTCCTGGGAAGGTCAAAGGCTCAGACACCAACAGGGGCAGTGGCACTCTGTCCCACAGGTCACCAGAGTCACACCTGGTTTGATGGCAGCGGGTCGGGAGCTGTCTTCTTAGCTGTCCTTTGAAATCTTCTGTTCAGGTCTCCTACTCCATCTTTTCTTCCATTCCCTTTAGCTACCCTCCCTTCAAGAGCAAGTGACAGTCTCTTCTGACATATACATAGTTCCTCTTCTGTCTCTTTAATGGCCTTTGGCTTTCTTATTGTGTGCTGCCCTGGATGTCATCCCATGACTGGTTTGGCCTTTGGTCACCAGTGTCCCCTATGGCAAATCTGTTCTTGAGATGCTCTCTAAACTCAGGTGGGATATTCTCCAGGTCAGACATTGGCTTTCGTGGACCAGGTGCAAGTCTCTTTAGCCTCAACCTGAACTCGCACGTGAGGAACTGATGCTCAGCTGATGGCCCTTCTCCATGGGGTCTTTCCACAGCCACGGGAGATTTGATTGAACTCTTTCCACAGCCACGGGAGATTTGATTGGACTCTTTCCACAGCCACGGGAGATTTGATTGAACTCTTTCCACAGCCACAGGAGATTTGATTGAACTTACGGGTTGGAACCGTCCTGGTACATGTGGAAATAGAAAGTTGATTGAAAGAGTACCCTTAGAGAAATTGATCATTAGCCGATTTGCTCATTAGGCTCATTCTTCCTTAGGCGAAGAGGCCCAAGACCATGTGGGTTTTCAGCCTCAGGGCAGAGAGTGCCCAGTTAACCCCCAGCACCAGGCCTCCTTTCTCCAGGTTCCTAAGGTGGGTAAAGCTACTCTCTCTTCACCCCTCTCTGCCAGCAGGTCTAGGAGGCAATCGTGAGCTTCCAGAAGGACCGGACCATCAAGAATGAGACTTAGTACTCCACACCACGAGGGCCAATTGGAAGAGAGATATGGTTCTTCTTGTTTTTTTCGTCATTCATAGTTTTGAAAACCTAGAAGCTCTGGTGCCTTTCCCTAGACACACACACGTACACACTCATACGCACACACACAGACACACAAAATTGTAGCACTTTGCATGTAACTTGAAGGCAGCCGTAGTCTAATTCTGATTAGCAGACCCTGGACCAGTCCTGAGTCCCAGTGTCCCCTGACTCTGACCTGCACTTGCCTCCCAGGCAGGCCCCCCCCCCCACGCTCTGGGTCCCAGAGAGACACGAAGAGAAGGGGAGACAGGGGAAGGTGGGGGGGGGGACGCAACGACAGGTGAGTAAGGCAGGGCTAGAGAGAGTGAAAGAGCGAACTGGGGCCAGAGGAACCACGAACCATCGAGAGAAAGGCAGAGCTAGCAAGGCAGGGACAGAGACACAGAGGCAGAGAGGGAAGAGAGTGGCAGAGATCATCAGATGGACACAGCAGCAACAGAGAGAAAGGAGGCCCCTCGGAGAGGCTGGGAAACCCTAAGATTAGGAGACAAGACCCCAGCGTGGCAGCTGTCATGACTCCCTCCCTGTGATTTGGGGCGAGGAGACAAGACCCCGGCGTGGCAGCTGTCATGACTCCCTCCCTGTGATTTGGGGCGAGTCTCTCTGCACACTGGGTCTCCGTGTGCTCTCCTGTGGGCTTGTCCAGCTGGCAGGCTTGGAGGGAGTCACTTAGCTCGAGAGGACTTAAGTGGTTGGCGAGGGGAGGCCAGGCGTGGCCCCCAGCCTGCTCCCAGCCAAGAGTGCCTGCCTGGCTTCCTGTCTTGGCTTGCAGACCAGTCCATTAACAATGAATGCGCCCTGGAGGAACGAGGTGTGGGGAGGAGGGAGGAAGGCTATCTCTGTGCGCCCTGGGACACACAACCAGCCCTTTCCTAAGGTCCCACTGGGCTCCACCAGCCAGGCGGTGCCACCAGGGGGCGCACGCGCACAGGGTTCCTTTGCCCCTCTTTCCACTGGGGCCGAGCAGAGGACCAGGGCTCCTGTGTCACACAGGTGGCAGCCGGTTTCACGTCCCTCTGGGAGGTGGGCATCTCGCAGGGGGCTGGATGCAAACAGCGGGGTTTCGCAGAATCTCTGCCTGCCAAACACTACTGGAAAGCATTGTTGTAAGGCCTCTAGCTGAGCGCTACACTCCAGCTGCCACCCAACTCCAGACCCTGCCCCCAGGAGCACCTGAACGCTCTCCCACCCACCCACACATGTCTCTAAGCCTGGCTGCTTTTAACTTGCTTGTGAGGGGGCCTGGGCTCTACCCAGAAGTCCTTTCCACAGGACATTTCAGGGGAGGAAAGACCCACCAAAGAGCACGGAGAACGAGATACCCACGGCTGCCTCCTCAGGGCTCCCACTGAGAGCCGAGCTCAGAGAGAGAAACACACTAGGTCAGAGTCACACAGTTAGGGGAGGGGCAGGGGGCACACTCAAACCCAGGCCTCCAGCTGTCTGTCCATGAGAGAGGGGACCGTCTGCTTGGTCTCTGGTGCATCCCCGGGCCCTAGCACACTGTAGTAGGCACCCAAGGATCCCTAAAGTAACAAATAAAGAGCCATACACCATATCACCTCCATTTTAGAACTGGAAATCTATGAAGTGATGTGATTACCCCCTCCCCCGCCAGCTAATCATCTGAGGTCTCTTATCACTCAAACTCCCTGAGTGTATGCCAACTCATAGCGACCCTGTGGGTTTCTGAGACTGTGTCTCTTTACGGGAGTACAAAGCCTCGTCTTTCTCCCACACAGAGGCTGGTGGTTTTGAACTGCTGACCTTGTGGTTGGCAAGCCCAATGCATAAGCACTACACCACCAGGCAGGGCTCCTTTCACCTATCGTTCTAGAAGGTTATATACTGTGTTAGGTGCTATTGAGATGGTTCCGGGGCAACCCTATGTACAACGGAAGGAAAGACTGAATGGCCCTGTGCTATCCTCACGGCCATGGCCACGCTTGCAGCCACGCTCGCAGCCACTGTGTCAGCCTATCCGAGCTCTGAAGAGCTAATCAGTAGAAAAGCGTCCTCTCAGTCCACCCTGCTTTGGAGAAGCCTGGTGCTTCAGACTGGAAGGAGAAGGCCACCGCAGTGCCACCTAGAGGCTGCTCGCCCAAATTGCAGGCATAGATCCTGTGCTGAATCTGACTTCAGAGGCGGGGGGGGGGGCCCAAAAGCCAAGGTCAGTGACTGTGAGGTCAGGGGGTGAGGGGCCTTGTTTCAGCCCTCAGTGTGAGCTCCCCAGAGTTTGGACACCAGTGAGGTGTCATGAGATCAAGGGCCCTGGCCGAACTGGAGGGATGCAGTGACACCTAGTGGAAGAATGCAAGGGACGTTATTTCAAGAACCCAGCACCCAAGGGACCAGTGAGGACCCTGAATGGCCTGTGGCTGTGAAGGTTGTACCTCTGTCTTCATCTGCGACTCCCTGTGGGGCTCTGGGCAAGTCGCTCAACCTCTCTGATCTCACCCCCTCTTGTGGCGCTGATGGAAGTTGGCTGAGTAGAAGAAGGGCTAGCAGGGTCTGCAGGTCAGCAGCCCCCTACCACAACCGCACCCCTGCCCCACTTGCTCCTCCCTGCCCCGCCTCTGTACTCACAAACAGCAGCAGACACTTGTTCTCGCGCACGGCCCCGCAGCAGCCCAGGAAGCCGAGCAGAAAAAGCAGGCCTCCCATGGCCAGGAGGATGTAGGTGCCCGTGATGAGCAGGGGGTTGGTGGCCACGATCTCCCGGAAGCCGGTGGGGTCCACCATGACCCAGATGCCGACACCCAGCAGGCAGACTCCGCCCAGCTGCTCCCCAGGCCCGTCGGAGGAGGGAGGAGAAGAAAGAGGCAGAGCTGAGGTCACACACTCCCAGACAGCACGCCGCGTCCCCCCCCCCCCCAGGACGAGCCCCCACCCCAGCCAGGCCCGTCATCACTTCAAATGCATCCGGTTTCTCTGCCCTCATGTGGAACCCACACTGCCACCTCCGGTGTCCTACCCTGGGCTGCTACGGACCTCGGGGCCCTCCCGGGCCATGTCTGCATTCACTGGACGCCACCCTCTCGTCCAAACCCTCTCGCTCTACACAGGGGCCCAGAGAGGGCAAACTGCTTGCTGCAGATCACACAGCAAGACCGAAACAGGACTAGTTTGAACTAGACCCAGTGATCTATCTCTGGAAAACCAGGGCTTAAAGACCCCATGGCCACAGATGTGCCCTGACATGTGTGGAGCTGGGTGAACTGCGTGGCAGCTGGTAGGGATTGCCAGACCTTTCTGCCAGGGTCCCCGTGGGTGTACCTCCCTGTGAACTGAGTGTGTTCACTCTTTTACCACCAGGGGGCTCAAGACCAAATCAAGCTCCCTGCCAATGAGTCTGCAAAGACTCACAGCGATCCTGCGGTGCAGAGCAGACTGCCCTGTGGGTTTCTGAGACGAACTCTTTACCAGGGTAGAGAGCTTCCTCTTTCTCTAGCGGAGCAGTTAGTTTTGAACTGCTGACCTTGCAGCATAGCCCACTACACCACCAGAGCTCCTGGTGATCCGAAGAGGTGTTTGAAACCCCTCTGTGCCCTCAGAGGAGCAAAGAGCCCTCCCTGGCAGTGCGGGTACTCTACTGCTAACCACAAGTTCAGCGGTTCAAACCCGCCAACCACCCCTTGGGAGAAAGATGTGGAAGAAGCTAGGCTAATGAGGGGCGGCCACATTCCAGGCACTTGGTCACCTAAACCTGCTGGGTTTTCCAAATAACCTGTGCAGGTCAGTACAGGGGGCTTCAGAAAGTTGGTGGGGAAATGGAATCAAAAGATTGGGGAATTTTTCCAAGAACTTTTTGAAGCCTCTTTGTTATTTAAGAAACATAGACACCAACGTTCGGGGACAGACAATGACTTTCAAATCTTACAGCTGGTAAGAGACAGCGCTGGGATTTGAACCCAGGTCTCCCAGTGCTAGAGGCGGTTCTAATCACAGCAGGAGGCTTTGCTGGCTCAGCCCCTCTGACTGCTGTGTCTGTTGGCAAGGGCTGTGTGTGGCTCCCTTAGGGGACCCCTTCACCGCTCTCCCCATTGGGGGTCATATCCAAAAACAGGGGCTGAAGCGGAGCCCCCCCATTGCCAGGGGGCAGAGCCAGCTTGGGTCTGTGTGTGCAAAGACCCTCTCCTATGATGGGATGTGGGTGGGTGGGGGATCAAAGGGGGAACTCTTGGGGACAGGGGCTCCCCTTCACGACACCCTTTGTGGACAGACAGACCTGCTTCTAGCCCTGTTCCAGCGCAGCCCTATGCCCCAGGAATACTCACAAATATGAAGAAATTGAAGACGAACATCAGGTACTTCATGCAGCTCAGACAGTCACCTTCCATGGTTCTCCACCTAAGGAACAGCAAGGCAGCCTCAGGTGCCCTGCTGCGGCCCCCACAAAGAAAGGATCCCTGTCCCCCTTCCCCAGCCTCACCCCACAGGGGTGGGCAGCAGCCAGCCCCACAGCAGGTGGTTTAGACCCTCTATGACAGGGCTCAGAGCAAAGGGTTCTGGGAGCGGGTTGGGCATGAGGGAGTTGGAGCGTTTTCTCCTGCTCCATATCAGGCTGCTCCATCCAATCTCAAACGCTGCCGGGAGGCTTCTACTCAGATGAATTCGTAGCCGTTGAAAATGCCAAACAGAAGGTCCCACTGTCATGGACCCCAGGGTTTCAGGATGAACCTCCACTGCGGTTGGATGAAACCCCAAACCGATGCCCCTGAGACCAGCTTTAATTTATAAATGAAAAATGTCCGCGGAAGGCATCTTTCAACCAAGCCACAGTTTGGGTTCACCAGCAGAGAACACCGGCCTTGAGCCCTGGGGTCGGAGTGGATTCTTCATTGAAAGACGAGACTCTGCTCCCAGCAGACCCCCAGCCGCAGACCCCGACAGGTGCACTTCTGCTCTGCCCTCTTGGCTCACTAGCAGTCGGAATTGACTCGATGGCCGTGGTTAGGGGCTTGGGGGGCTGTCAGCATGGTGCTCTTTTAAGATCTACCTCTAGGGGGAGCAAATTGACCGTGAGGCTGGGAGAGCTTAGGCAGGAAACAGGGGCCATGGGTGTCAGTCACTGCGGGGGGAACAGTGCGGAAAAAACAACCCCCTCAAACCTCACCCAGCTCACTGCCATTAGCTCAATTCTGACTCCCAGTGACCCCAGAGGACGCTGTAGAACTGCCCCTGTGGGTTTCTGAGGCGGTAACTCTGTGGCAGCAGAGGGCCACCTCTCTCTCTGAGGAGCGGCTGCTGGTTTCAAACTTCTGACCTTGTGACGGGCTCTTTGCTGGCTTATTATCAGGAGTAGATCACCAGGCCTTTCTTCCTAGTTCATGTTAGGTCAGAGACTCCACTGAACCCTCCCCAGCCCCACGGCAGCGGGCAAATGTCCCCTAGCAGATGGGGGCTGTGTGTGTGTGTGGGGGGGGGGGACGCACCGCCGGAATCCGACCTCAGAGACAAGGAGTCAGCCTCAGGACCGCCACAGCCAGCCCACGGACAGAGGAGGGGGCTTCAGAAAGCTCGAGGGGACCTGACCGTCCATTTCCTTTAAATCCCCTCTTCCTCCAGCTGGGCTGCTGGGTTACAGCCTCGGACACCCACGGGGTAGCTGTACCCTGTCCTCTAGGGTCCCCTGAGTCCACACCAACTGGATGGCGTGAGTGGTGGTTTGGAAGGTCAAGCGTACCGCAGCATTACGAACCCTCTGCCAGCTGGCGGAAACCACCGGCGAGTGACCCGGACAGGAAGTGAGCACAGGCCCTTGGAGGGTGGGCATCAGCGGGCGTGCCCAATGCAGGGGTGCCTGGACCACCGGTTCATAAAGCGCAGACAGCGCAGTGCAGTCAAATGAGGTCAGAGGGGCCTTGCGGGCCAGGGAGTAAAATGACGCAGGGCCAGGGAGGGCGGGAAGATGGAGGCAGGCGGGGAGACAGAGATGGAGCTAGCAGTGATGCAGGAAGCCAGAGACAGGCCCAGAGAGACACTGGCAGGGTTGGATTCAGGGGGCTGGCCGGGGGGAGCCCAGACACGGGGTGGCAATTGTCTGCTTTTCACCTGGGCGGTTCTTTGAGCGTCAGCAGCATGGGGGTCTACTGGTCAGAGGGGTTCTTGTATATTCTTTTATTGGTCCAGCATGTCCTATAAAATGCCCAGTGGCTACAGGGAGTCCACCGGGGCAGCCACATGTAGACGCTGTTTATGAAAACCTGTTCCACTGACGCACACACTCAGCCCGACTGTCTCGCTGGACAGGGACCCATTATTGCTAATGAAAGGTTCCCTGCACCTGGGGCCACGCTGGCTGGGACAGCCTGCCAGGGGTGCCCACCTTCTGCCCAGCTGGTAGCTCCTGGGTGCCCTCCCTGGGACTGAGTGGGAACTGCAGCTTCTGTGAGACACTTGCACCACTGGGCATGGGCTTTCTGGAAGCTGTGTGGTCGGGTGGAGCTGGTGAGCTAGGAGGGGGCATTGGAGGTGGGTGACACACACACTTGGATGCTACGGGAGTCCCAGAAGGGATGGCTCAGCTGGAAAAGAGCCACTAAGGTCTGTTTCGTCAAACTCTTGGTCCTCTGCCCCCACAAAAAACGAAACGAAACAAAACTCTCTGCCCAAACTTCTGACCCATCGCAACCCCGTGCGAGAAAGTAACACTGCCCCTGTGGGGTTCTGAGACTGTAACTCCTCAGGGGAGTGGAAAGCCTCCTCTTTCTCCCTCAGAGTGGCTGGTGGTTTTGAACTGCTAACCTTGCTGATAGAAGCCCAACGTGTAACATGATGCCCCCAGAGTCCTTACCCTTTCCCCAGAAACCCCACTTCCCAGGAGAGAGACATTTGATCGTGGAAAGAGTTCCTTAGATTTGCATAAAGATTGCCAGAACATTCAGCTCCCAACATCAGAATGGAGGTTTGATCTACAAGCCAAACATGCACAGGTGGTGTGGCAATCACTGATCCATCGCAGCCCCAGGTAACTGCAGAGTGCAGGGGAGCATGGGTATTCCACGAGGAGGGAAGGGGAGGTTCTCTGAGTCTGTCCAGATTTCTACTTATCAGAATAGTAAAGGGGTGGTGGATGAAGACTCCTTCTACCCACTCAGCCACTCATGCATCCATCCACCCAACCTCCAATCACTCACAACCACCCACCTACTCATCCACCCATC